ACTATCCAATCACTGAACGTCACTTTCGATCCCTTATTTGCATAACTATCTACAGTATCCCCCTGCTGGCCCAGGGTGAGAACTTCAGTACATAACACAAAGTATCCCTGGAAGGAACGATCCAGGCTTGCCTTATAATTCTGTGGGGTCGGGGTGTGTCTGTTTCCCCCCTCCCTCCCTCTCCAGGAACGCATTCATCAGTTCAGCTTCCTCATCTTCATTGGGCACTCTCTACGTTTCCGCAATCGTTATTTACTTCATCCTGCCGGAGACCAAGGGGAAATCGATCCTCGAAATCCGAGAAGAGTTTGATAAACTCCAATTTTAAGAAGAAGCAGGCTCTCGGCTCAGAAAACGAGATTCACAGGAGACCCTGTGCTCTGCACCAAGCTATGATGGAGCCCTCGGGGATAAGGAGGTCAGAAGAATTATGCAGGTGAATCAGGCCCACTTAGCCCCAGCTTCCTGCTCCTAGTCTAGATTCCCGCAACCAGGGCCTGAGTCCATCTGCCTTGCCCTCTGGCGCTCCCCAGGCACTGGCTTTCCCTTCAGAGGCAAACTGCCCTTGTGCCTGCTTAGAAGCAAAGCCTCAAAAATGTTTGGGGAGAGATTCATAGTTATGAACAATAGCGGAACAAAAACCGATCACTGACACCAGTGAGACTGACAGTCGTGACAGGCGGAGCCTTGCCAGGAATGGCCCCTGGCTTAGGAGTCTGCTCCTCCTCCTCCTCTAAGCTGCTTTTGGCTCAGCTGTGGGATTCAGAAAGCAGGTGACTATGCTGCCGTTTCAAACTGGTTTGGGGCCAGTTGGTTTTATTGCAGGTTTCTAGCTGGTTGGCAAAGATCCCGATCCATTTCATTAGCTGGATATTTTTAAAAGATGCGTTGCTCCGTTTTCCTGACTTTTGTGGTATGTTGTAACTGTTATTCTATCATGCTTCGGAAGTGGTTGTACTGTGCTTGGAAGGACAATGTCCTAGAAAGCAATTTAGAGATCTCTTAAGGGGAAATAAACAACCAAACAAATAAACCAGCTCCAGATCATTTATCAACAAGTTTATAAGTCTAATGCAGAGCCTAGGGGGGCACAACTATGCTGGGCAAACGGTCCGTTCATTTCTGCTCTCTGCTGCCGTCTTTTAGCTAGCCACCCCTCCATAAGAGGACCGGCCCTCTCCTCCCACAGGGACTAATATTACTTTCCTGAGCAAGGGGTTGGAGTGGGTGGTGTTTAGAGTCCATCGATGGACACAAAGTGGCTCTCCCTGTGAAAGACCAGTTTTGCTGGAGTCTCTGGAGAAGTCTAATCAAATCAACCTGGTGATCGATAGAGATTGCTGGGCTGAAGCTAATGAAAATAACTTCAAAAGAGCCTAATGCAAAGTTCTGCTTCAGGCAAAATAATAATAACAACAACAACAATTGCTATTATTATTTATACCCCACCCATCTGGCTGGGTTTCCCCAACCACTCTGGGAGGCTCCCAACAGAATATTAAAAACACAATAAAACACCAAACATTAAAAACTTACCTAAACAGGGCTGCCTTCAGATGTCTTCTAAAAGTCAGATAGTTGTTTATTTCCTTGACATCTGATGGGCGGGCGTTCCACAGGACGGGTGCCACTACCGAGAAGGCCCTTCTCGCAGTGAGGGAACCGCCAGAAGGCCCTCAGAGGTGGACCCCGGCGTCCGGGCTGAACAATGGGGGTGAAGACACTCCTTCAGGTATACTGAGTATTTGCAGGCAGGGGAAGTGTGGATGTTACAGTTGAGGCTCATTCACACTGACATTTGCCCTGTGATTTCTAGTCACAGGTTTGAGGGGTTCTTTTGCCCTGCAGCGTCATACCCCGCAACTGTCCCAATTTCCCCAGGACATTCCGAAATTACAGAAATGGAGGGGGGGTTGCAGATGGATGTTTGTTCTGATTCGGCAGTAAACAGCAGGTTTCCCCAGAAAAAGCTATGGGGAAAGCTGAAACCTCTCAGACCCATTACTAGGAATCCTGGGACAAAACGGAAGTGTGGCTGAGCCCCGGATTTGGCAGCAGAGCACCAATGGTCCATTTACAACTACAGTGGTACCTTGGTTCTCAAACACCTTGGTTCTCAAACACCTTGATGCTCAAACAACTTGGAAGCCAAACACTGAAAACCTGAAAGTAAGTATTCTGGTTGGCAAACTTTTTTCGGAAGCCGAACGTGCTCCATTTTGAGTGTTACACTTCCGTTTTGAGTGTTCCGCTTCTGATTTGAGTGTTACCCTGATGTCTGTCTGCTTTTGCTATTTATTTTGCATTTTTGTTTTTGCGGCTCTTTTTTGTTTTTGTTTTTGTTTTTGTGACTATGTGGAACAGAGTTCAGCTATTGATTGATTGATTGTGTGACTGCAGTACGTTGAATATTGTTTTCATTTTATGGATCAATGGTCTCTTTAGATAGTAAAATTCATGTTAAACTGCTGTTTTAGGGGTCGCTTTTAAAAGTCTGGAATGGATTAATCCATTTTGCATTACTTTCCATGGGAAAACATGCCTTGGTTTTGGAACGTTTTAGTTTTGGAACAGACTTCCAGAACAGATTAAGTCTGAGAACCAAGGTACCACGGTAATGCAATTTTCCCCAGGCAGAAGTGCAGCCCGACTGAATTTATATAATTTGAGGGTGGCAAACTGCCAAAGCCCCTTTCCCCAAGTCTGGGGGGCGTTCACATGGGCTCACTGCCTTTTGAGGATGTAATTGGTCATGGACACCCACGGCTGGTTGATCTATTTAGCTTTGCGGTTCCAAACTTTGCACGGGAAACGAAATTAATCCATTAATTGAAAACCTGCATAGTAATTTTTAACTTCGAGTAATTGGTGCCTGCTGATGGTTTTGGCAAGATAGCGACGCGAGAGAGAGAGAGAGAGAGAGAGAGATTGAGAAGCAGCCCATGTTGCATCCCGTTGAAAAAAGCCGGCTTTTGATCAATTGGTAGCGCCCCCCACACCTGTGGGGGTCTTTGAATCGGAGATGGGGAGCTTCTTCTCTAACCTGGTGAGTACCTCATTCTTCATAACCCATAGCTAATTTACATTTTTTTTAAAAATCCTCAAGAGTTACTCATAGAGCAAAAATCGAAACCATAAATATTGATCGATCAAGCAAATAACAGAATTCGTGTTTTAAAAACCCACTCAAATATGCGCATTTTGGAGCAAGGTCTGACCAGCAATGCAAAATGTTTGCCCTTGGCAAGGAAGGGTGGGGCAGCAGTAATGGGGAGAAGCGCTCTGTGTGAGATAAGGTTACCAGATTTTTCTCAGTGAATCCGGGGACACTTTTCAGCTTCAATGGATTTTGTATTGGGACTGATTTGTAAATCCGGGACTGTCCCCAGGAAACGGGGATGTTTGGTAACCTTACTGTGACACCCACTTGAGGATTTGGCTGTGGGGGTCTTTGTAGCGGCAACATCTAGAACCTGACACATGAGTTGCGTCGCACTGGACCTTCATGGCCGCCATGGCATCCTATGGGAACAAAGTTCTCCCCTTGGATGGTGTTACACCTCCTGCCCTCACTTTCTGACCCACAGCTCCCCCCCCCCCAGTGTGTCCTGCCTGCCTTGGATAGTCAGGGTGGTCCTTTGCCTCAATTGGTGATGCTGCAGTTGCTGTGGTGATTTCAGGACCTCCACTCCCCAGGCCTCTTCTCACCATTTAGGCATCTGTTGCAGAGAGAGGACTGAGATTGCAGTCACGGGGGGGGGGGGGCAGTACCTGACCTGGAGCCCCCAGCTCATGTCTCCAAGTTTTGAGAAATCCTACCTGCACAAACGCGGGAGGCGCTGTGGGTTAAACCACAGGGCCTAGGACTTGCCGATCAGAAGGTTGGCGGTTCGAATCCCCGCGACAGGGTGAGCTCCCATTGCTCGGTCCCAGCTCCTGCCAACCTAGCAGTTCGAAAGCACGTCAAAGTGCAAGTAGATAAATAGGTACCGCTCCGGCGGGAAGGTAAACGGCGTTTCCGTGCGCTGCTCTGGTTCGCCAGAAGTGGCTTAGTCATGCTGGCCACATGACCCGGAAGCTGTACGCCGGCTCCCTCGGCCAATAAAATGAGATGAGCGCCGCAACCCCAGAGTCGGTCATGACTGGACCTAATGGTCAGGGGTCCCTTTCCCTTTACCTGCACGAAATTATTATTTTTCTCTGGGTGCAAGTGGTAGAAGATGGATGTGCTGCTTTTTGGGAAGGTGGGTGGCTTCCTTCTGGCTGAGGCAGAGCAAGAGGCCTGTTTTCTCCTGGCCATGGCAGAAGATGCCCTTCATTGTCCTTCCTTTTTCAAAGGAAAATATCTGGCCAGTTCCTTTCATCCCAAATAGGGCCTTGCATCTTACCATTAGAGGGCAGCAGAAAATATATATATATAAGGAGGTTATTGGGGTCCCTTGCTTTTTTTTCCCCCCTAGCATTTATTAATTTCTAGGTTTATCCTGTCTATAACAGTACTTAATAATTTCAAAAGCTATTGTCTAAAGTCATGGTTCCTTGTGCAATTTCCCTCAGCTTAAAGGTATTATTTATAAGAGACTTTAAAAACAATTTATTCAAATGTTGATTAATTGAGTTTATTTAAATGCCACTTTTCCACAATGAGCTGTGCCTGAAGAAGTTTACAGAAAACATTCAAAACACCGAAATACAGAGCATTAGAAATACAGATATACAAAATGCAAACAGGTCATTGGGGGTCCCTTGTTAACACACCTCAGGGGTCTGAGGGAAGCCAGGTCAAGAATGATGAAACTTTTCATATCATCATAGACAGACTGTCATTACTGGCCAGCCATTCATCATGTACTACAGAATTAATTACCTAATCCATTTTTTTTTAAAAAAATGAAAATACTCGTGGTAAATTCCAGCATTTGAACATTCGGCTTTGTTCATTTGCCATTTCTGTAGAATTTTTCTGTGTATTTTCCCCACTGTGGGGCACCAGGAGATGCCCTTCTGGATTTGCTTTGTCTTTACAGATTCAATATCGTGGATTGTTCCAGATGATCTTTGTCCTGGGCATAGGTGGCAGCTTCCCATATGGGTTTCACATTTCTGTGATCAACTACCCCTCTCTGGTAAGCCAAAAAACCACTGTCCTGCATTCCTTAGGTTGGAACAGTCAAGGCCGCAAGAGGGGAGCCTTGGACTGTGAGATCATCAGCGGCATTCTTTGTTCACTGAATGGCAGCACAATTGTTATGTACTGAGTTGAATAGGATCCAAAAGGCAGCAGTCTGATTGGTCCTAGAACAATAGGATTCAGAATGCAGCAGTCTGATTGGTCCTAGAACAATGCAGCAGTATGATTGGTTGGCAGGAACTACCCAATCATGCTCCAGATAGAAGTGAATCCACAACCTGATTGGCTTACAGTAGAATTCCGGAATTAGCCAATCATGTGCAGCCCATTGTGTAAATAATGTATATAAAGCAGATACTTTGAGGAGACTTTCATTCATTCCTCCTCACCACTATGAGCTGAATAAAGAGCATGAAATCACTTTGCGACTCTGAGTATATTTCAACAATGTTACCTTTTGAATTGAATTGTTGCACATCTCAATTTTATTTAGTTAATAATAATAATAATAAATTTTATTTATATCCCGCCCTCCCCAGCCGAAGCCGGGCTCAGGGCGGCTAACAACAATAAAACAATACAACACAACACTCTAAAATCATTCATTATAAAATTAATTAATTCAAGCCACTGGCAACCATTGGGCCAGAGCTCCGCGAAGATTGCCGAGGAGGGAGTCAGGCTGTGCCCTGGCCAAAGGCCTGGTGGAACAGCTCTGTCTTGCAGGCCCTGCGGAAAGATGTCAAGTCCCGCAGGGCCCTGGTCTCTTGTGACAGAGTGTTCCACCAGATCGGAGCCACGGCCGAAAAAGCCCTGGCTCTAGTTGAGGCTAGCCTAACCTCTCTGTGGCCTGGGTTACTTCAGAGTTGAAGTAATTCAACTCTGTAGTTGAATTACTTACAGGCTGCCCATCTGACTGGGTTGCCCCAGCCACTCTGGGTGGCTCCCAACAAAACATCAAAAAGACACCCTTATTGTTCGTGTTGTAAGCCAAAGGAAATAGACGCACAATGAATTTTTTTGTTTGCTTGCTTCCAGTACATTAAAAAATTCATCAACGAGACCTGGCTGGAGCGGCATGGCTCCCCTCTCCCGCAAGAGACCATCCTCTTGCTGTGGTCCTTCATCGTTTCCATCTACGGCATAGGGGGGCTTTTGGGAAGCGTCTGCTGTGGATACCTGACCACAAAATATCGGAAGTAAGTCTTTCCCTAAGCGATGTGTGGCTTCCGTGCACATCTAAATCTGTGACATAGGGTTCAAGATGTAGCAGGAACCCCCACCCCCACCCCAATCATTCTGTTTGTACAAACTTCACACACACACACACACACACACACACACACACTACATACGCCACATTTCTGTTATAAATTCATAGAAAATCAACCATACATCGATTTGCACTGTTCCATTTTTATTTTACTCCATATGACAAGAACTAACAAAGGGGGGTGGCTTGGCCCTGGTCAGCCAAAATCCCTTCACAGTCTCAGCACATCTGCAGGAGCCCTGCCCAGTGGCTGTGCAGACCCTGATGATCCCAGACAGAAGACAATCAAGATCACAAAGAACTTGCATATGGGAGTGGATTCAGCATGGACTGAAACAAAGGACAATGATCAGATCTTCCCTCAGGGGGCAGGAAACTGTAAACTCCCCTTTGTCTCCTGGAAGTGACTCATGGGGAGGGGGGAAAGGAGGAACCAGCCAGGTGACAAGACACTCAGGTTACCACCAACTCCTCCCTCAACCCCTCCCTTCTGTAATATGTGCATGATGTTTCTGGGGGTGGGCTTGACCTAGAGGAGGGAAATTTTCAAAAGTTTTTATAAGACCTTGCACACTATTTTTCTGGGTCTTTCCTCTCACCTGCAAGTGAGGGGAGCACCCTGTCGCGACAGTCTTTCTTCAATAAAGACCAGGCCTACAGGCTGCTGATTTGCTTCAATTTACTCTGGTTGGTGTCTTTACTTTTTGTCCAAGGGAGCCCTCAGATTTTTCCGGTAACAAAGCCCACCAGGCCAATGCACTGGAAGTTGGTGCGAGGGGGTCTGATTCAAAGAGATGCCTCTTATTCTCAGTCCTAGAAAAAGCAAAACAAGCACACAGGCCTGTTGTTGCTGTACTCAATAAACACACAAGACGTAACCAGCTGTCCTTTTGAATAAATAAGGCAGTGTTTTTCATCCTTTTTTGGGCAAAGGCACACTTGTTTCATGAAAAAAATCACGCGGCACACCACCATTAGAAAATGTTAAAAAATTTAACTCTGTGCGTATATTGACTATATATAAAGTAATTCTCTTGAATAGGAATCAAATAAACACAAAGAAAGTATTTTATAATTACTTTATTATGAAATAGTAAGTAAACAGAAATATGAAAAATTATAAAATACTTTATTTTTAAATCTTTCGAATTTTTCAATTTTTCCCACGGCACACCAGGCAACATCTCGCGGCACACTAGTGTGCCGCGGAACAGTGGTTGAAAAACACTGAAATAAGGTATACTATTCACTGTATCAAATTGTAGATTTCAACAGAAGTCTCATAACTTCATATATATATGCTTTATTGATTCCAAAAAGAAAACAGTCAACAGTTTTTTAAAAAACATATTACAGAAAGCTACAATAGTTTCATAATACATATATTCTTCTTCTACTACTTTGTTTCTTTATTGTTTTATTCACAATAATGTACATTCTTCACAACAGACAACTCCAAAATAAAATCATATATAGCAAACCCCCTCGTCTTTCCTTTCGCGTTCAAGCCTCTCGTTCCTCTCCTCTCCTCTCTTTTCTTTTTTTTCCGTATCAGAATCTCAGAGGTAGTACTCTGTGCTCTTTAATATGCTGTTTCTCTCTATCCTGTATTCGTCGCAAGGCTTCTAGTCACAACTTTTGTAAATCACCACATAGTGAGCCCCCTTTCTCTTTCAACATCTTTCTTTGTAACCATGCTTGCCTAATATTATATTTTCCAGCTACCTCCACGTTTAATTTTAATAATCTAAAGCTCTGAGGTAGCTTCGTGTGGCGTCAGTTTTATAATTGAAAAACCTGGTGCTATCTTCGTCGGGTCCAGAGGCATCTCGCAGACAAGAGTGCATCCAGTTTGGCGCTGAGGTTCTTCCGCTCTCTTTCACACTATTAAAGTACTGGTATTTAATCAGTGCTGGAGCAGCAGAAAACCCCTTTTTCCTGCACAGCTCTGTGCATTCAATTGGATACCTCCTTTCCCATTTTTCCCAGGGGGGTGAACAATACGCACAAGGTGTTTGCCCCCCACCTGAGAGTCACCTGTATCCCACTCCAGGTGCAAATCAGGCCATGAGGTAAGTCCAAGTCCCTTTGTTGGTGGTGGGAGCAGTTGAGCTGTTGCTCAAAGGCATGTATAGGCAACTTGGTCCTCCAGCTGTTTTGGGACTACAACTCCCATCATCCCTCGCTAACAGGACCAGTGATCAGGGATGATGGGAATTGTAGTCTCAAAACATCTGGCAGGCCGAGTTTGCCTATGCCTGCTCTAAGGTCCCTGTGTCTTTCTCACCTTGATTCCGCCTTCCATTACAGAAAGAAATGCCAGATGTTCACAAACTTGATCATGCTGGTGGCTGCGTCGCTCATGGGTTTCAGCAAGATGGCTGGGTCCTTTGAGATGATCCTCCTGGGGCGCTTTCTCTACGGAGTCGGCATCGGTATGAAGGAAGCGTCCTGGCACTTGCAGCAAAGTCACCACAACCTTCCTGGGGCATTTTGTTTTTGTTCCTCCATCAGTCTTGTCTTCTTTTTAAATTACAGTGGTACCTTGGTTCTCAAACTTAACCCCTTCCGGAAGTCCATTCCAAAACCAAAGCGTTCCAAAACCAAGTTGTGCTTTCCCATAGAAAGTAACGCAAAACGGATTAATCTGTTCCAGACTTTTAAAAAACAACACATAAAGCAGCAATTCAGCATGGATTTTACTATCTAACGAGACCATTGATCCATAAAATGAAAGCAATAATCAATGCACTGTACTATAAAATAAATAAGACAATATTGTAGATGATAAAAGTTAAAATTATTATTTTTTTCTTAGCTGCACTGATGATAGCCATTGTTTGGTTGGGGGGCTTTTATCCATTTCCACAGTCACACAATCAATCAGTCAATCAGTAGCTGAACTGGGTTCCACACAGTCACAAAAACAAATTAACCAAAAAAGCCTCAAAACCAAAAACGCAAAATAAATAGCAAAAACAAAAGCGCCACACTTAATCTGTTCTGGAAGTCCATTTGACTTCCAAAATGTCTGAAAACCAAGGCACAGCTTCTGATTGGTACAGGCGCCCCAGAAACAATAGCCGACAGCCACAGTGGACGTTTTGCTTCCAAAGAAAGTTCGAAAACTGGGACACTTATTCCCAGCAATTCTGGGCCTCATCAATAGGAGTATAGCATCTAGATCAAGGGAAGTAATAGTGCCACTGTATTCTGCTCTGGTAAGACCTCACCTGGAGTACTGTGTCCAGTTCTGGGCACCACAGTTCAAGAAGGACACTGACAAACTGGAACGTGTCCAGAGGAGGGCAACCAAAATGGTCAAAGGCCTGGAAACGATGCCTTATGAGGAACGGCTAAGGGAGCTGGGCATGTTTAGCCTGGAGAAGAGGAGGTTAAGGGCTGATATGATAGCCATGTTCAAATATATAAAAGGATGTCACATAGAGGAGGGAGAAAGGTTGTTTTCTGCTGCTCCAGAGAAGCGGACACGGAGCAATGGATCCAAACTACAAGAAAGAAGATTCCACTTAAACATTAGGAAGAACTTCCTGACAGTAAGAGCTGTTCGACAGTGGAATTTGCTGCCAAGGAGTGTGGTGGAGTCTCCTTCTTTGGAGGTCTTTAAGCAGAGGCTTGACAGCCATATGTCAGGAGTGCTCTGATGGTGTTTCCTGCTTGGCAGGGGGTTGGACTCGATGGCCCTTGTGGTCTATTCCAACTCTATGATTCTATGATTCTATGATTCCGGGTTTTCGGCATTTGAGAACCAAGGTGTTTGAGAACCCAGGTACCACTGTACTATGTTGGTCTTTTAAATGGGTCTTTAAAGCATTTCTTATCAGAAATTCCAGTGGCAGGAGGGAGATGCAGGGGCTGGTTCATTTGGAGATGCTATAAGTCAAGATGCATTGTTTGTGCAGGCAGAGAATCCTGCCCAGCCTTCCCCAATTTTTGCAGTCTCTTTAGCTTAAAGGTAAAGGGAACCCTGACCATTAGGTCCAGTTGTGACCGACTCTGGGGTTGCGGCGCTCATCTCGCATTATTGGCCGAGGGAGCCGGTGTACAGCTTCCGAGTCATGTGGCCAGCATGACTAAGCCACTTCTGGCAAACCAGAGCAGCGCACGGAAACGCCGTTTACCTTTCTGCCGGAGCGGTACCTATTTATTTACTTGCACTTTGACGTGCTTTCGAACTGCTAGGTTGGCAGGAGCAGGGACCGAGCAACGGGAGCTCACCCCGTCACGGGGATTCGAACCGCCGACCTTCTGATCGGCAAGTCCTAGGCTCTGTGGTACAGCGCCACCCGCGTCCCCTCTTTAGCTTAACTTGGCCCATTTGGCAGAACCCAACCGAGGGTGGTTGACCCTGGAAACCTAAATGGATGAGGTTCAAGGCACTTAGGCTGGGTTGTGGAGCGGGGAGCAGGTTGGAGACCTGCTAAGACATGACCCGGCTACATGCCTGTCAGATGCAACAGCTGCCAATAATAATTCATTTGAGTTGACCTTGAACCTGGAGACAGTGAAACCAGGTGGTTTTGCAGGTTTCTTCACTGTGTTTCTTTATCATGCCCCCCACTCTTTCCCAAGGGTTTTCCTTCAACATACACCCTCAATACGTGGGAGAGATCTCTCCAAAGAAGCTGCGCGGATTTACAAATGCCACCGTGGCTGTTTTCTTGACCCTCGGGAAAGTCTCAGGACAAGTGATGGGCTTGGGGTAAGTGCAGCTCCTCCTCTGTGCTGCCTGAAAGATGCTTGAGAACAGTGTGGCCGAAAGCCTTTGATTGTGTTGAATAAAAATCACATGAACTTAAATTAGAACCTTGGGTTCCAAAGCTGCATGCTTTGGGTTTGGGACTTTGAATTCTGGGCTGCTCAAAAGAATGTGTGGGTTTCGGAGGAGGGACCGGGGGACCTGTGCTCCTGTTGGGGGGGGGCTGTCCTGTGATGATGACACCCCACTGCAGTGGTGTGAGGTCAGTGGACTAGGCTAGTCCTCTAAATGTTCCCCTGGCACCTCCTTCCCAAAGCCCAGGAAACTTCTGCCTGGCTTAAGAAGGGAGGAGCGATGCTCCGATTGGTTCAACAGCCCTTCCGCCATCTTCCCAAAGCTCACTTGGCTTTGGGAAGAAGGCAGGAGGGTGCCAGCATCCTTTCAGAGGCCTAGCACCTCCTTCCCCAAAGCCAGGATGCTCCTAACCAGCTTAGGGAGGGGAGGCGCAATGTGCCCTCACAAGCTGGTGCCTCTAGCCCTAACTATTCCCTTACAACAACAACAAAACACTGTGCGTCATTGCCCCCTGACTTCCTCCTTCTCTTCTCTGCAGGGAAATGTTGGGCAGTGACTTCTTGTGGCCTTTGCTACTGGCTTCCAGTGGGCTCACTGCAGTGGTCCAGCTACTGACCCTCCCTTGCTTCCCCGACTCCCCATCCTACCTTCTGATCCAGAAGGGCAATGAAGAAGCCTTCATGAAAGGTAGGAGCCCTGTGCCATCTGGACAGATCAGGCAGGCAGGCTGGCTGACAGCAGCAGGGCTGAGAAAGGCTGGCTCCAGGGTTGCCCATGACTTTGAGCAGTGCTCGCAAATGCCAGAGGTGGATTTAGAGCAGCACGACTGGTTCTGGCGCACTGGGCATCTAGTCTAGGGGGCGCTGCAGGGCACTGCAATTGCAACATAGTGAATCGAGCAGAACAGAAGGCAAGAGACTGAACGATGGGGGTGGAGATGCTCCTTCAGGTCTACTGGGCCGAGGCCATTTAAGGCTCTAAAGGTCAGCACCAACACTTTGAATTGTGCTCAGAAACATACTGGGAGCCAATGTAGGTCATTCAGGACCAGTGTTATATGGTGTTGGCGGCCACTCCCAGTCACCAGTCTAGCTGCCGCATTCTGGATTAGTTGTAGTTTCTGGGTCACCTTCAAAGGTAGCCCCTTGTAGAGCGCATGGCAGTAGTCCAAGCGGGAGATAATTAGAGCATGCACCACTCTGGCGAAACAGTCCGCAGGCAGGTAGGGTCTCAGCCTGTGTACCAGATGGAGCTGGTAGAGAGCTACCCTGGTAGCCATGGATTGATCTGCCCCTTGAGCTGATCCAAGGGTCACTTTGGGTGGAGCCAAACCTATTCTTCCTTCCTTCCGAACCTCAGCCATCAAGCAGCTCTGGGGTGAAGGTGACCACCAAGCGGAGATTGAGGACCTCAAGAAAGAGAAGTCCGCCGTGGCCAGCACCAAGAGCCTGCGCGTCCTGGAGCTGATGAAGGCCCGCTCCTTCCGCTGGCAGCTCTACGTGATGATCACGGTCATGACCACCTTGCAGCTCTGCGGCATCAACGCAGTTGAGTCTTTGCTTCCTGGGGGACGCGGAGGCTTCCGGGGGTCCTCCATTGCTGTGGGAGCAGGGAGTCACACAGCCTTTCGGATCAAGTGAACTTTATGACAGGAAACAGCTATGGTGGCTCTTCTCCAGGTGCTGCTGGACTCCAACTCCCATCAGCCTCTGCACCCAGCAGGACAAGGATGATGGGACTTGTAGTCCAGGGACATCTGGAGGACTACAGGCACCAGCAAAAGAGAGTCTACTTGCTCCCTGTTGGGGAACAGAAGGGTTGCTGCGGCCCAACCCAGCCATGGCCAGTCTGTGGCTGGATCTACACTCACCTGTAAAATGTAGTTAGAACAATATTAGAAATACTGTTCTAAAATGGCAGTTTCTTTTCCAAAAGGTCCACCTGGTTTAAGATACCGCTAGCAGAATCTGGGAGTGGTCAGTTCTTGTACAGTCGGTTCGCGTAACAATCGCGTGACCCCCAACCTTCTCCTCCCCTCCCTGCGCCGAAACCTACTGCGCAGAATGGGTGCTGGCAAAGGGCTACTTCCCTCCTCTCCGGTTTGCTCAGGCTCGGTGTTGAGGCTCTCCCTAGCATCCCCTGGTCCCACCACCTCCTCCCCACTGGAGGTGGGGCTTTCCTCCTCCCCACTGGAGGAGGAACTGCTTCGCAAGATTTTCGGAGGTTCCCTATAACACAACTGCCCTTCCACCTCTCGCCTCTGAGCTGATGGCAGTTCCCTGACATGAACCTTGGGTTCCCTCCCAACTCTGCAGTTTCTATGATTCTGTGGTAGGCAGAGAGGTGTCCCTGCTGTATGTACTGCAGAGAACTTGCCTTCTAACAGAAGGGAACGGGGACAGGCGGGGAGCCCCTGCACACGTGAAGCTCTGCAGGCAAAAACGTCTCCTGCAGACTAGCCCCCGGTCTCCTCAGCTCCCTCCTGCCTTTTCCAGATCTATTTCTACTCCTTTGAAGTCTTCCGCACAGCCAGGTTTGAAGAGGAGCTCGTTCCCTACATCGCTCTGGGCGTGGGGATGTGTGAGTGCCTCTCGTCCATCCTGTGCGTAAGTTCAAGGGGAGGGGGGCACAGCCGGCGCTCCCAAAATGGGGAAAGTCCCTCATGTATTTCCCCAGCCCCTGTCCCCCTGGCAGGCCGTCTGAGGTTCCCCTCCTTTTGCTGCCTTCCAGAGTTCCCTCATTGAGCGCTTTGGACGGAAGCTTCTGCTCTGGGGGGGCTACGCTGCGATGGTCCTGGTCCTGGCTTTGCTCACCCTGACCCTCTCGCTCCAGGTAAGGCGGCTGGGGGTCCTCTGTGATGTGGGGCAGCAGTGGAGTGAAAGGGAAGAGAGCAGTTGGGTTAGATTACTGCCATGCTGAAATATACTTGGAGTCCTGTAGTGATTTCATGCTCTTTATTCCAGCTTGTAAAACAGTGATTGAATTGCCCCCCAAACCTCAGGCTTTTATATACATTATTTACATAATGAGTCCCGTCTGATTGGCTGATTCTGCTTCCCTCCTGGAGCCTGATTGGTCGTTTCCTGCAGGCCAATCAGTTGTTGCATTCTAGGATCCTACCACCTAATAGGCTGATTAACTTCCTCCTGGAGCCTGATTGGTTTTCTCCTGCAAGCCAATCAGTTGTTATTGTTCTAGGATCCAAGCTTAGTACATAACACATGCATTATACATAGGGCTGCCTCTGTAGACGGTTTGGAAACTTCAACTGGTGCAGAATTCAGCGGCCATGTTGCTCACTGGAGTTAGACAGTTTGAGCATATTACACCGATCCTGGTTCAACTGCACTGGCTACCAATTAGTTTCCAGGCCCAATTCAAAGTGCTGATTTGACATATAAAGCCTTATATGGTTCAAGACCGCAATACCTCAAGGACCGCCTCTTTCCTTATGAACCTACCCGGACCCCGAGATCCTCTTCTGAGGCCCTCCTTCGTGTGCCTCCTCCTCGAGAGGTCCGGAGGGTGGCAACACAAGAACAGGGCCTTCTTTGCAGTGGCTCCCCGCCTGTGGAATGCTCTCCCCAGGGAAGTTCGCCTGGCGCCTTCATTGTACACCTTTAGGCGCCAGGCAAAAATGTTTCTTTTAAACCAGGCCTTTGGTTGATCTGATTGACACAGCTCAGAAGCCTCCTTAAGACGTCTCTCTCTGCCCCTGGCCCTCAAGGGACTGGCACCCCCAGGAGCCCACTTGGGCACCCCCAGTTCTCTTCTGCTTGCCTTTGCAACAGGAAGAATTGGATCCTTCCACTCCCGCTTAGAGGACCCTTTTCTTCTCTTCCCAGCACCGTTTCTTCTGGATGCACCACTTCAGTGTGGTCCTCATCTTCCTCTTTGTGCTCTTCTATGGGATTGGGCCTTGTGAGTACCTCCAGGGGGTGAGGGTGGGGGAAAGGCCCCTGGCAGCCCCGTCCAGGAAGAGATTCAAGCAGCCTGCTAGGAGGGCAATGGATGGAGCCTGGGGGAGCCTGGCAGGCAAGGAGGGAAGGGAGCAAAGCTCTCAAATGCATGGTCCACACGCATGGCCTTGCCACTTCTGTACTGCGGTGTGCACTGGGTGTTTGTGGGACAGCGGGTGGGGCTGTGGTCTAAACCACTGAGCCTCTTGGGCTTGCCGATCGGAAGGTCGGCTGTTCGAATCCCCGAGACGGAGTGACCTCCCGTTGCTCTGTCCCAGCTCCTGCCAACCTAGCAGTTTGAAAGCACGCCAGTGCAAGTAGATAAATAGGTACCGCTGCAGCAGGAAGGTAAATAGCGTTTCCGTGCGCTCTGGTTTCCGTCACGGTGCTCCATTGCACCAGAAGTGGTTTAGTCCTGCTGGCCACATGACCCGGAAAGCTGTCTGTGGAGAACCGCCGGCTCTCTTGGCCTGAAAGCAGAGATGAACACTGCATCCCATAGTTGCCTTTGACTGGACTTACCTTTTTTACTTACTGGGGCGTGTCCAACCAGGCCCAGATCCATATGCAGGTGTGGGAGCGTCCATCTCCTACTTGGCCAAATCCTTCCAACTCAGCACCTGCTGTTGAGAGGTTGGGGTGAGGCATGTCCAGGCATCTGGTCAGGTCTCTGCCAATCCTGACACCTGTGGGTGCTGGGTGGGTGGTGCAGAGGCGGTTGGCGGCACCCAGCCCACACTGCCTGGTCAGGATAGGTGAGGTTGCAGGCACAACGAGGTCTCGACCGGGCTCAAGACCGGGCTCAGGGCGGCTAACAACCAATAATAAAAACAAGTTGATTAAAATACAATTTAAAAGATTAAGATACAACATTAAAACAATTAGGGAGCAATCTCTTCATAGGAGGAGAAAGGAAAAAGAAAGAGGGGGAGGGAATCAAACTGATTCTAAGCCAAAGGCCAGGTGGAACAACTCTGTCTTACAGGCCCTGCGGAAAGAGATCAGATCCCGCAGGGACCTGGTCTCAAGAGACAGAGCATCAGATTAGTTCTGATTCTACAGTGGTACCTCGGGTTACGTACTGAATTCGTTCCGGAGGTCCGTTCTTAACCTGAAACTGTTCTTAACCCGAAGCACCGCTTTAGTCAATGGGGCCTCCTGCTGCTGCCGTGCCGCCGGAGCACGATTTCTGTTCTCATCCTGAAGCAAAGTTCTTAACCTGAGGTACTATTTCTGGGTTAACGGAGTCTGTAACCTGAAGCGTATGTAACCTGAGGTACCACTGTATTATTATTCTCCCCGTATAATGTCTGAAGCAGACCAGCTGCAAAGAATTGGGCCCGCTGCACGTTCGTTTGTTTGTTTAGCTTTTCTGTGCCTTCCCCAGCTGGAGCCACCATTGCCGTCATGGTTGAGATCTTCAACCAGACCTTCCGCCCGTCGGCCTTTGTGATCGTGGGGTTCATCAACTGGATGGGTCTCTTCCTGCTCGGGATGATCTTTCCGTTCATCGTGGTGAGGCAGCCCACGGGCCACAGGCAACCCCCCAAGCCCCACACAATCAACCCTGCCGCGGGACATCGGGCACTTAAGGCCATGATGAGGACATGGACGATTTTGCACGCAGTTGCTTGAAAGTGAAAAACGGGGTGTTCACTCCCCCCCAAAAAAATTTTTTTTAAAAAGATATTTATTAAAATTTTCAAATTTAATACAACCAAAAAAGAATCAATAAAGAAAAAGAGAAAAAGTTTAAAAACACATAAGGTTCACAAAACTTATTTTTCAATAACCTATTTCCCTGACCTCCTCATACCTCCCCTTCTTGTATTCCAATTCAAATTATTGGTTCAGCAAATCCTTACCCAATTTTGCCTTATCCAAGCTTATACATCAATACTTATACATCAATACTCATTCTTATAACATAGTTTCTAAAGAGGACCCAAATTCCCTTCCACGAATTTCCCAATTTTCATACAAATAACAAAACTTCCCCAAAAAATTACAGGTGTCCTGTTTGGGCCGGAGAACCTGCTTGGTGGACGAGAGCCAGTGCAGTGTAGTGGTTAAGAGCAGTAGTCTCGTAATCTGGGGAACCGGGTTCGCTTCCCCGCTCCTCCACCTGCAGCTGCTGGGTGACCTTGGGCCAGTCACACTTCTTTGAAGTCTCTCAGCCCCACTCACCTCACAGAGTGTTTGTTGTGGGGGAGGAAGGGAAAGGAGAATGTTAGCCGCTTTGAGACTCCTGAAGGGGAGTGAAAGGCGGGGTATCAAATCCAAACTCTTCTTCTTCTTCTTCTGTTCTGCATGAATCTCTGCACCAGCCAAGTGTTTGCAAGGAGGGTTTTGAGAATGCAACGCGAGCTTCCTTAACCTTTCCCTTCCCTTCTCTTTCCAGGAATATCTCGGCCCGTTCTGCTTCCTGATCTTCATGGGCATCCTTACAGCCTCGGGCGTTTTCATCTTCTTGTTCCTCCCGGAAACAAAAGGGAAATCTATCATGGAAATTACAGCAGAGTTTAATAAGCTGAATTATGGAAAGAAACAAGTTTTTCCTGCTGAAAATAAAGTTCCTCGGGAAACCGTCTTCTGCACCAGGCTCTAACACCCCATTTGCAGAACCTCCAGCTCTGGGAGAGAGGAGAGAGGAGGGGGAAGAGTCACCAGCTCTGCCCCATGCAAAGAAAACAGCAGCCTGCCCGTGGCTTTCAGCCAAGATGGGACATTTCACCAGTTTACATCCTGTTTCCAGTTTACATCCTGTTTCCCACGAGAGACAGGTTATCTATGGTTTGTTTACTCCCAACAAATTGCAATCTGAAGCCATGGTTTGTTGTTGGCTTATGAACCTTGGTTTGGTGTTATGTCTAACGTGTCTTTAACCATGGTTTGCTTGAACCCTTGACAAAAAGAAACCCTCACCAAACCAAAAAGGCAAAAGCAACTGAAAAACAAGTCAAATATTGGGAGAAGGAGGCCACAGCTTGTTTAATTTTCTGTGGGTTGACTTGTTTTTTGTTTTTCAAATAATATTTATTATTTTCAGTAGATAAACATAGTAAAAAAAAAGATTAACAATAATAAAAACAAAGAATAAAAGAAAAAGAGAAAAAATAAAAATATACATACAGCATATTACCACTTAATTAAAATTAAGTACCATCCATCTTCATAAACATAGTATTTGACTTCCTCGAATCTCGAATGTAGCAGTTTCCAATATCAGTGTTTCAAAAAACCATATCAGTCCTAATCATATTACATAACTTTCCTTATCGTACATTTTCTTATTTATAAATTGAATTCAGTTTAATCCTAGGCTTAATTGTTTCTTTCAAGTGGTTACATAGCTTTAATATTACAATATTTATTCAAATAGTCTTTAAATTTCTTCCAGTCTTCTTGATGTTCCTCTTCTTTCTGGTCGCGGATTCTCCCGGTGAGATCAGCCAGCTCCATAAACTCCATCATCTTCATCTGCCATTCTTCTACCGTTGGGGTGACTTGTTAACCCATGGTTTGTTAAACAAACCACGGTTTAGTGTGGTGGGGAGGAAACTGTAGCCCTCCAGGTGTTGCTGTAGTCATTCCTGCTCGTTGGACATGCTGGCTGGGATCTGGAGTCCAACCATGGCTGAAGAGCCATAGATTCCTCACTCCTTGCACTCTCTGTGGAGCAGGCCCATCTCATTCAGTGTCATCTGGCGCCCCCACAGTTGTGGCTATATTCGATTCTGAGTTTTGTAATGTTTACTTCTGCTGTATGTTGCTTTGAATGCAGAAGGTGTATAAGAGTGGGGTATAAATGAAATAAACAATGATTATTTCTGCAGAGGCTTCTTAGAACTCTCTCTGTAGCGCCGGAGGCTGGGGGGCAAAAAAAAAATGTCACCATGCTATTGCTCACCATAGCTGTTCAGTGGTGATGACTCCAAGCTCCGCTTTCAGCTAGACTCAGAGGGAACTCCAGAAAATGGCCGATCCAAGCGGGGCCTTCAGTGTGTTGGCACCAAATTTAAGAGGTGCTGAATGCAAGCATTGCATGCCCAGGAACAAATGGAGGGGAATTAAGACTCCTAAGTGTCCCTTCACAGGTGTGTCTTTCCTGCCTCCACCAGGCAGAGGCCCTTCTTGGTAGTGGCACCCACCCTGTGGATGCCCTCCCACCAGATGTCAAGGAGATGAGTAATTATATATCTTTTAGGAGGCATCTGAAGGCAGATTTAATGTTTTAAAGGTAAAGGTAAAGGTACCCCTGCCCGTACGGGCCAGTCTTGCCAGACTCTAGGGTTGTGCGCTCATCTCACTCTATAGGCCGGGAGCCAGTGCTGTCCGCAAACACTTCCGGGTCACGTGGCCAGCGTGACATCGCTGCTCTGGCAAGCCAGCGCAGCACACGGAACACCGTTTACCTTCCCGCTAGTAAGCGGTCCCTATTTATCTACTTGCACCCGAAGGTGCTTTCGAACTGCTAGGTTGGCAGGCGCTGGGACCGAACGACAGGAGCGCACCCCGCCGCAGGGATTCGAACCGCCGACCTTTCGATCGGCAAGTCCTAGGTGCTGAGGCTTTAACCCACAGCGCCACCTGCGTCCCTTGACGCGGTTTTACTATGTCTTTATATGTTTTACTATGTCTTTATATGTTTTACTATGTCTTTATATGTGCTGGAAGCCACCCAGAGTGGCTGGGGCAACCCAGTCAGATGGGCGGGGTACAAATAATAAATTATTATTATCATCATCATCATTACTGAGGTCACCTAGTGGGCATGGCTGGAGCAAAGCAGCCTTATGGGAAACCCAGCCAGATGGGTGGGGTATAAATATTATTATTATTGCTGTTGTTGTTGTTGTTAGCCAAACTGGGCTTGCATGGCTCCCTATGCCTGTCTGACATTCCTGCATAAGAGTCCCTGGTAATACCTGAGATCAGTCAGAAGGACCTTGGCAATAAGGTTGTTCCCAGTAAAAGGTGACAGTAAAGGTAAAGGACCCCTGGACGTTTAAGTCCTGTCAAAGGTGTCTATGGGGTTGTGGCGCCCATCTCGCTTTCAGGCCAAGGGAGATGGCATTTGCTCACAGACAGCTTTCCAGGTCATGTGGCCAGCAGGACTAAATTGCTTTTGGCGCAACTGAACACTGGGACAGAAACCAGAGCGCACAGAAACGTCGTTTACCTTCCCACCACAGTGGTACCTATTTATCTACTTGCACTGGCATGCTTTTGAACTGCTAGTTTGGCAGGAGCTAAGACAGAGCACTGGGAGTTCCACTCCATCTAGGGAATTTAAACCACCGACCTTCTGATCGGCAAGCCCAAGAGGCTCAGCGCCACCCGCGTCCCTCTTGTTCCCAGGAAGGAAGCTCATGGAACCTAACCACCGGCCGCTCAATGACCACCCCAGACACACACCCAGCAGGGTCACCCTCCTTTCCACCCGGACTCCTGTATATTTAGGCTCTTTATGCAGCCAGAAGCTGATGCCAGGTTTAGTCCTGTGCAATGTAGGTGGGGCATCTGGGAAGGCGATAACCAGAGGTGGGTGGAAATCCAGTTGGAGATAAACTCAATCTCTCACTATCGCTCCCTTGTAAAAAGTAAAGAGCACCATTGACCACACCTTTCTTGCTCACTCCCATAGAATCTCATTCTCTGTAGGTATACAGACTAATTATACACCCCCAGTGTTTCTCTCTTCCTCCAAAGGATCTGATCTCTCAGTTCACAAAGCCAGTCAGATATTTTACATGACATAAGAGCTGATGGCTGAGTTATTTTTTCCTTTCGCCTCCCCATCCATTTCTCCTTTTACATTAGTCTGTTTATTTACATACTAAATAGCTATAGAATCTCTCTCCCTGTCTGAACAATGCCTTTTCCTTCAAAGTGCAGACTGGGGTCTTGCAATTCCAGGAACATCTAATCTTCAGAAGACCTCTGGGGAGGTTGAAAGCTTGCTCAATTATTTGTGCGCTTTTAATTGAGAAAGGTACCTCCTACAGTTTATTTTTTGATTCCCCCCACCCATCCCTATGGGCCCGGCATAGCAACCTGCAATTTGGGTCTCCTTTTGAATCATACCCATTTGATTGCAAGTTGTTGCTTTATTTGTCAGCTGGTCATATTTCTCACCTGAAGTTGAATTCCATCAGGATACAACAGAGAGAAAAGAGCGTGGGTGTTGGGTAGCAGATTCTTCACCCAGACAACACAATGGCTGGTGGATTTGGTGCTTGTTGGTTTTGCATCAGACTCTCCTTTGGGTTTTGCTTTCTCATGCAGAAAATCAGGATTACCCTGTGCCATTATTATTTTTAAACCAGAATGCGGAGTGTCACCTTCAATCTGCCTCATTGAAAAGCAAAAACCAGTGAGATACATAAAAATATGCCTGGAATCCCCCTCCCTCCTCCAAACCTCTGGGGCCTTCTTCATAAGCGAGAACAGGAGACCGTGTACCAAACAGGATGGGCGCTGCTGCTTCCTTGGCTACTGCTTTTGTGGCACAGTACGTGCATGGGGTAGGGGACGCGGGTGGCGCTGTGGGTTAAAGCACAGAGCCTAGGGCTTGCCGATCGGAAGGCTCCCATTGCTCGGTCCCAGCTCCTGCCAACCTAGCAGTTCAAAAGCACAAAGTGCAAGTAGATAAATAGGTTAGGGAAGGTAAATGGCGTTTCCATGCGCTGCTCTGGTTCGCCAGAAGCGGCTTAGTCATGCTGGCCACATGACCTGGAAAAACTGTCTGTGGACAAACACCAGCTCCCTCGGCCAGTAAAGCGATATGAGTGCCGCAACCCAGTCATCAGTGACTGGATCTAATGGTCAGGGGTCCCTTTACCTTTACCTGCATGGAGTGGGCTGATTTTCCACTATTTTGATGAAGCACCACATTCCTTCAGGGATTTTTGGCATCTTGTATTCCTGTTATCAAAAGGTCGGCGGTTCGAATCCCTGCGGCGGGGTGCGCTCCTGTCGTTCGGTCCCAGCGCCTGCCAACCTAGCAGTTCGAAAGCACCTTCGGGTGCAAGTAGATAAATAGGGACCGCTTACTAGCGGGAAGGTAAACGGTGTTCCGTGTGCTGCGCTGGCTCGCCAGATGCAGCTTTGTCACGCTGGCCACGTGACCCGGAAGTGTCTGCGGACAGCATTGGCTCCCAGCCTATAGAGTGAGATGAGCGCACAACCCTAGAGTCTGGCAAGACTGGCCCGTACGGGCAGGGGTACCTTTACCTTTACCTTTTACTATTCCTGTTATTAGGGGACGCGAGTGGTACAGTGGGTTAAACCACAGAGCCTTGGACTTGGTGATCAGAAGGTCGGCGGTTCAAATACCCATGATGGAGTGAGCTCCCATTGCTCGGTCCCTGCTCCTGCCAACCTAGCAGTTCAAAAACACGTCAAGTGCAAGTAGATAAATAGGTACCGCTCCAGCAGGAAGGTAAACGGCATTTCCGTGCGCTGCTCTGGTTCGCCAGAAGCGGCTTAGTCAAGCTGGCCACATGACCCAGAAGCTGTATGCCGTCTCCCGCGGCCAATAAAGCAAGATGAGCGCCGCAACCCCAGAGTCGTCCACAACTGGACCTAATGGGCAGGGGTCCCTTTACCTTTACTATTCCTGTTATTTGCAGTCGGATAGGGGAGGGGGTGTCTCCTCTACCTAAACAGGCTGTTGGCTCATTCAGTAAATATTGAGAGTGGAGAAAGAGGGAGCAATGTACTCCATACAGCTGGGATAGCTCAGTCAGTAGAACATGAGCCTCTTAATCTCAGGGCTGTGGGTTTGAGCCCCATGTTGGGCAAAATATTACTACATTGCAGGGGGCTGGACTTACATGACCCTTGGGATCCCAATTCTCTGACTCCATGATACAGCATTTTCATAAGGAGAAAGGAAACGTGTTTCAGCTTAAAGTCGGTCTCCTATACTACAAGCAAGTCTGGCAAAACTGACGCCCATTTCCAGGTTACTGTTTAGAATACCCTATGATTTGCCAATCAGAGTCGTTCTCTTTCTTT